ACAAATATGTCTGCAATAAGACATAGTGTCAAAAGGTTGGGTTTTCTCATGACACCAGTTTTTTAACTACCTTCAAATAATGTTTTTTTTGTTTCTTTTTCTAAATTCTCAAGAACCAAAAAGAAATGTATAAATTCATTTTCATCATATGTTTAGGTTTTATGATAATTCTAATCATCACTTTTTAAAATGATAAACATTGCCGAAGAATGAAGATAGTTAAAAAAAAAAAGTGGTGTATGGGAAAAACTATCCTTTTGACACAACATCTTATTACAGACAAGTTTGTCCATGTTTGCCCATTTTCCTTTATTTTTAAAATTAATTTTATTGCAAATTCTCATTGAATAAGAAAAATCATATATAATAATGAATCATGTGACATTGTCTGTTTGTCTGCCCATAACAATGGACTCACAAGTTGACATATAATTATAAATAACCATGTCTCATTATAAGCAAGCAACAAAATCTTTTTAATTTTACTTATATAAATATATCTAATGGTTATTCACTCAATGAAGAAGGTCACCAAAAGGTTTTATCCTTGACTTTTTTCAATTCACATGTGACTGGACAAATGACTTTAGAGCCCAGATATTGACTTACATTGTTTTCCTTGCTGGAAGTCTGATCCGCCATTCAAAATTGATTTCATATTTTTGGAGAAAATATTTAAGGAAACTTTGTGCCAAGTTTGTTGAATTGTGAGATGAATAAGTGGAAATCTCTTGGTCAGGCCAAGAAATTTTCACCACCTCTGTGTGTGTGTGTGTGTGTGTGTGTGTGTGTGTGTTTATATATATATATATATATATATATATATATATATATATATATATATATAATGTAAAAGTATTTTGGCAGCAAAAGTTCTTTCAAACATGTTTGGTTGAATAATATCAGCAAGTTTTATCGATACAATTTTTTATTAATTTTTTCAAATTAGGTGTTTTATGTAATCGGTAAATTTACCAATGTTCATATTTATTTTTATTTTTTCCCCCCCACGAATTCTTTTGAATGTTGCTACATTAATTTTCCAAAATTGTGTTTTGTGTTTACATCACTGTTCCTGGTTAATTCCAGCATTCTCACATTTAAACAGGGAAACTAGATTTTTTATGTGTGTGTGTGTGTGTGTGTGTATGTGTGTATACACACGCGCGCGCACACACACACACACACACACACAAAGTGGAATGAATAAATTGTTGTCTAAATTACACAAAAATGAAAATAACACTGACATCTCATTTTAACAAATAAATTTACCAAAATTACACAAAAATATCTTGGAAAGCTGAAGAGTAAATTTATTCAATAAAATTGCCATTGGCGTCAACCACTGCCTCCAGACGACTTCGGAATCTCTTGCATCTCTTCTGGATGGTCTCCTTGTTTAAGTTGGTGAATGCTGCCATAATCCTTGCCTCCAGTTCATCTTTGGTGTTACAAGGAGTTTTGCTTGTCTTTCGCTCAACTGCGCCCCACACACAATAGTAGAGTTAGTATAATAATCAAGGGGTTTGCAGTCTGGAGAGTTAGGTGGCCAGATGTAAGGAGTGATAAAATTGTCTGACAGCTATGACTGGGTTCTCCTGCTTAGGTGGTATGGTACAGTCCTGTTGCCAGACATAGGGTAGCCATCCTCTTGACCCAGGGCAGCACAACCTCCTCAAGGCACTTTATATAGGCCTCTGTATTGAGTCTGAGGCTCTGTTGGAAGATGAATGGAAGCATAACATCTCGTAATCACTAGTGATCACTCCAAACACCATGACATTGACTGGATATATCATCCAACTATTTCTGAATCCTATGCACTGTCCTCAGATTGACACCCAAACACTCTGAAATGTTTGTATTGGAGCTTCTGGTGTGGATGCCAAGCAGTACAGCATGTCATTTCCAAATTTCTGACAGTGAATTGCATCATGGTGCTCTTTTTCTCAGAGATGGTACCCAACTAACTCTACTATACTTTGCAGTCAACAATTTTCAAAAGCAAACATGAGTGTGCAAAATTGAAAATATAAAATGGCAGCAATTTACCCTGAATATATATAATGTATGTGTGTTAATACAAATATGTCAATACTTGTAAATATGTTATTTAGTTTCTTTTCTGAAAATAATCATAGATATTTAAATAAATCCATTCATGATTAATCATTTGATGATTAATAATTTGTTTTTAAGCTAGAAACATCAACTTGACAAATTAATATTTTTTCCATCCACAAGATTTACATCTCCTGTAAACTGTCCATATTAAATGATTACTGATTGAAATAATGAAGTTAAAACTTTCTATTCATTTTGTCTCAGAAGACAAAAAAAACCAAAGAACTTTAGAAAACCAGGATTGACAAAATGCTTTATAATATGGGACTTTTTAAAAAGAATTTAAACCTTTTTCCTAATTTGAAAATCACCATTTCTGTGTATTGCAGGATTAAATATAATCTATTTAAGAGTATTAATAAGTAATCTAAAAAATAATGGTATTATATAGAACAGAGTATTGTGATAAAAAGTAACAATAGTAGAGAGCTATAAAGCCACATGTATAAAATACGACGTCTCTCTCTCTCTCTCTCCCCCCTCCCTCCATGTGGTTAAATGTAAATGGCAGACATGCCCAACAAACAAAATTGATTAAGTTTGCAATGAACAAAAGAAAAAGACAAGGCCAAAAATAATATAAAGCAAGCAAATAATATAAGCAAAACAAATTGACAGTAATAAAGCAAAGCAACAGTAATATGGCATAAAAAACTAAGAATTGTGGTTGACACACAATGAGCAAATTCAGATAAACGAACATCGCATTCTGACTTCAAGACAGATCAGGACTGAGTCAGATGAGACCAAGAAGTGGCCTATCTTATTGGCAAGGAAGAAATCCCAGCATGCATTTGTGTGATTTTTGCCTATAAATTGGGGGAAGGAAAACTGTTATGCAATCGTTTCCACCAAGATTGCAACCAACACTATATCTCTCTCTCAATATATATATATATATATGTGTGTGTGTGTGTGTGTGTGTGTATGAAGCAGAGGACGTACGTTTTTGAAAATTTCACATCATTAATTTTAGCTTCAAAAAAATTTTATCAATTTTTTTGTATTGAATTAGCATTTGACAAAATTAAGTGTGGAAAAAAACATACCTCACGTGGTGTCCATTTTATTTGATGCATTTCTGAAGGCATTCTTGGAAGTTGGCCTACACTATTTCCAGCATTGCTCTGTCGATTTGGGTGACTTCCATGCAAATAGCTTCCTTCAGATCGTCCAATGTACAGGGTTTATGCTTGTACACACATGCTTTGAGCCTATCCCACAAGAAATAATCACATGGACAAATCGGAACCCAGCAGGCTAAGGAGTGTCAGCGAACCTGTAAATGAGACAGTCATTGAAGAGAGGGCAAAGAATGTCCATTGAATGTCTGACTGTGTGGGCCGACATCCTATCCTGCTAAAACCACACAACTGATAGGAGTTTGTTTCCATTGTAATTCAAGCACAAAGAAGTTGTTTATCATATCAATGCAACACTCGAAGTTCACAGTAACATCATTTCCATTATGGTCTTCAAAAAATTAAGGTCCAGTGACATCAGCTTTTCCAACAGTACACCAAATCATCACTTTTGGGTTGAGCAGTGGTCTTTCGTGCAGTTCTCTCAGATTTTCAAGAGCCCAATAACAAAAATTCTGTTGTTTGCCATTCCATTGAGATGAAAATGAGCCTCATTACAAAATGAAGTGGTCATTTGCCTCAAAAATTGCTTCCATCTGACATGCAAAGTTAAGCTGCTGTGTATAGTTCACTGGGTCTCAACTGTTGTCCAATGGTCAATTTGTAGGGGTGAAAATGTAGCACTTCATGCAAAATATGCCTTACCAAAAGATTATTGATGCCAAGTTCAGTAGCATGCCTCCAAGCAGACTGATTCAGACTGTGCCGCAAAGCTTGTCTGAAATGTTTCCACATTTTCTGGGACACATTCTATTCATGGGGTCCCTCACCAGTCGGCTATTCATTAGTATATTTCATGTATGAAATGCATGAACCCAACGTAAGATCGTGTTACGAGTGGGAACAGCTTGATTTCAGTGAATGTTGAATCAGTGACAAAACTCACACTGAACTGCTATGAAAGACTCATTATTCTTCACGAAATTGTTGTAGGTGAACAGGCATGGCTTCAAAGAAAAGAAAAAAAATGCTAAGACACCACAGGCTCTTGTGGTACCAGTCGGACATATGTCCCTCCCCCTGGGACTGGGTAATAGCCATTTCAAAAACGTCTATCCTCACTGCCTCAAATGAATAGCAGCTTCAAATGAGAAAATAGCAAACTGAGTTTAAATCTAGTTGCATTCATTGCATTCACTTTTGTGTAAAGACCCTTGGGAATGATATGAATCCATTTCTTCTCCAGCTATGGGTTAAATAGGACAGACTGAGCTCTTCAGTCTTGTGTGGTAACCAGTCTAAATGAAGGACAACTCTGAATTAAAAACCTGTGACTGAAGTTATTACTATTCATTTTGAATATTCTTGTCACTGGATTCTGGTAGTTGATATTCAGAGAGTAGCATTCATGTTGTACAAGTGTCTATCACTATAATCTCTCCTGATGAGTTACAGGTACTTTCTTATATATAAGAAAATGGTCAGACTCCAAATTGTGTAGACAGCCATTATATATATATATATATATATAAAGAGAGAGATTTAAGATTTTAAAAGTGAAGCAGAATATATTTTCATGATTCTGTCATAATTCTCTTAGATACACAGACAAATTAAAGCTGTTGCTCTCATTGTCAGCCATAACAGCAATGTCCTTTTTAAAAATCCTTTTTTTAATTTTTTTAAGATCTTTTTTTCAGTTATCTATAATATATTCAGTTATCTTAAATATACTCTATATATTTAAGATTTTTCTAAAGTTTTTTTTGTGTATCTCTATCATTCCTTCAGCAGCAGGAGTTACAATCCTTCATTTCTAACTTGCCTTTGGAATCTGTGCTCAGAATTGAAGGAATCGTTGAAGCTCGACCTGATGATCAAAAGAACAAGGTGAGGTTTTTATTTTTCATTATTAGATTTAATTTTATTCTACATTCCTCTTCACTTTCCTTAAACAAAATATTTTTTAATATCAGTTTCATCAGCAAAAAGAGTTTTGTCTGCCATTTTACATTGCAAAATGTCAAATTTTAGTTTAGTAATTCATGCAAATTTGTTTTTATTTTTTGTAAAATTTCTTTTAAATTTTTATTCTTACTATTCATTCTTCATTTTTATTTTCATCTGTCAGAAAATGCCAACTGGAGACATTGAGGTCAAAGTTACTGAATTTCAGTTGCTAAATTCCTGCCAAGCTAAATTACCATTTCAATTGAAAAAATTCCATGAGGTTTGTTTTATTCTTTGAGAATTATTTTTAAAAAAACATGCTGAATTTTTTATATCAAATGAAACACGAACATTTAATTGAGAAATAGAATTTGAAACACTGGAAATATTTTACTAAAATTGAAAAAAGAAATCATATTCACTAAATTTAGCTGATGGAAAAAAAAAAGGTAGGATGATTGTTAGATAAGATTTTAAAGTAGGAAGAGCCTGCCCATTTTCAAAATTAGCATTCAAAATCCTTTTTTATATGGTTTTAAACCCATGAGCTCTAATGGGAAATATGCAGTTGTCTCAATTCCAAGGCAGGCTAAAAACAATTTTTAAAACAAAGAAAGATTGGCACAACATGATCTTTCTCCTTAATTTAGCTTTATACCAGACTAAGCTAATCTTTGTAAATATCTATATTGATAAGTCTGATAAGACCAAAATAGTGGAGCACTTAGTAAAGATTGAATTCACTACACCAGTAAATTGGTTTATGAGATGAATCTGCTAACCATTATAAGAAGCTAACATGGATTAAGCTTGTTGTGACACAATGTGATCCTACTCAATTGATTTAGGACATTCCCATAGTCAAGTGGACTGTAAATGATTTTATCTGGGTTGAAGTGCCAGCTGTTTTATGAAGATCAACAATAAAATCAAGATGTGAGAGTTTCAAACTAACCACATGCTGTTGAGATATGGGGAAAAGGAGATGAATTATATGAATAAATAAACTTTTGGAATCAAGTGCCACTTAGTTGGAAGGTAGGGAATTCCGGGTTCATAGAGTCAGACCATATTTTAGAATAGCAGTTAAAAGTCATCCATCAGGACAGAATGAGGTAATGATTGTGTTACCACCAAAGAGGGGCAGTCAAAGTTCTTGTTTGTTTATGAAAAAATCTGCTGTATTTGTTGTGAGGGAAACCAGAAATAGTAGCAATGATATCCCAAGTATCACTTACTCCCAGACAGTGCCAGATGAATCCATGAATAAAGAACCCAATATATCAAAAGCAGGATTCATAATTTCTTTTCTTGCCATGGCAGTATTTCACCTTCCATTCTTTTGTTGAATATACACCGGGCTTTTCACAGTTTTTGTTTGCACCAATACAAACCGGAATTGAACCACAGTATAGAATAGAAGCTAGCCAGTCTGTGAGAAACTGCTCAAGTGGACTAGTCACATGTTTACATGGTAAATAAATCTGACAGTCACTTGTAAGCTGATGTTTCTAATCTAAATATTTTTTCTTTTGCCAGGTGAATGAATCTCTTCGTATGGAATATCGATATTTAGATATTCGCACAGAGAAAATGCAGCACAATCTTCGACTCAGATCAAAAATGGTTATGAAAATGCGAGAATTTCTTTGTAATGAACATGGTGAGTAAAACTCACACATTCACATTTGTCTAGAAATTAACTCTTTTAATGTTTAGTATAAATAGACTAATATTTAAATAATTGAACATAGGACTAATATAAAGTAGAATACTGATTCAAACCATTTCTCAATCTTTGAACAGCTTTTTCCTTTTCTCCTTCTTTCTTCTTTTTCCTTTTCTCCTTTTTCCTTCTTTTTCCTTTTTCCTTCTTTTTCCTTTTTTCTTCTTTTTCCTTTTCTCCTTTTTTCTTCTTTTTTTCTTTTTTCTTCTTTTTCCTTTTCTCCTTTTTTCTTCTTTTTTTCTTTTTTCTTCTTTTTCCTTTTCTCCTTTTTTCTTCTTTTTCCTTTTCTCCTTTTTTCTTCTTTTTTTCTTTTTTCTTCTTTTTCCTTTTCTCCTTTTTTCTTCTTTTTTTCTTTTTTCTTCTTTTCCTTTTCTCCTTTTTCTTCTTTTTTCCTTTTCTCCTTTTTCTTCTTTTCCTTTTCTCCTTTTTCTTCTTTTTCCTTTTCTCCTTTTTCTTTTCTTTTTCCTTTTTCTTTTTTCTTTTTTTTTTTTCTTTTTCCTTTTTTTTTTTTCTTTTTCCTTTTCTCCTTTTTTCTTCTTTTTCCTTTTCTCCTTTTTTCTTTTTCTTTTTTCCTTTTTTCTTTTTCTTTTTTCCTTTTTTCTTTTTCTTTTTTCCTTTTCTCCTTTTTTCTTTTTCTTTTTTCCTTTTCTCCTTTTTTCTTTTTCTTTTTTCCTTTTGTCCTTTTTTCTTTTTCTTTTTTCTCCTTTTTTCTTTTTCCTTTTCTCCTTTTTTTTTCTTTTTCCTTTTTTCTTCTTTTTCCTTTTCTCCTTTTTTCTTCTTTTTCCTTTTCTCCTTTTTTCTTCTTTTTCCTTTTCTCCTTTTTTCTTCTTTTTCCTTTTCTTCTTTTTTCTTCTTTTTCCTTTTCTTCTTTTTTCTTCTTTTTCCTTTTCTTCTTTTTTCTTCTTTTCCTTTTCTTTTTTCTTCTTTTCCTTTTCTCCTTTTTTCTTCTTTTCCTTTTCTTCTTTTTCTTCTTTTTCCTTTTCTTCTTTTTTCTTCTTTTTCCTTTTCTCCTTTTTTCTTTTTCTTTTTTCTCCTTTTTTCTTCTTCTTTTTCCTTTTCTCCTTTTTTCTTTTTCTTTTTTCCTTTTCTCCTTTTTTCTTTTTTCTTCTTCTTTCTTTTTTTCTTTTTCTTTTTTCTTCTTCTTTCTTTTTTTCTTTTTCTTTTTTTCCTTTTTCTTTTTCTTTTTTTGAATAGCTTCTTGATCAGGCTGATAAGTTTTCAATGTTTGCTGATGCAATTTTTTTTCTTTGATTCTGTTTATTTCCCCAATAATTTTTATTTTTTTTATTTTCAGGTTTTGTTGATGTTGAAACACCAACTTTATTCCGCAGAACTCCGGGGGTAATTTTTTTGTATTAATTAATATTCCAGACTCTTATTTATTCTATTTTTTTTTATTCTTAATCATTTCACTTCAAACAAGGTGATAATGTCACTAAGACACATGGGGTTAGTGGGAGTGATAAAGAATGAGATGACTTTAATGAGGAATCACTTCCATTTCTGAGACAATACAATCATCAGGGATTAACTTTGACCTTACTTTATGCGCAATTTGAATGCCTGACAGATGGCACTTTGGAAGTGGAAATTTGATTCTCTTCTCTTTCCTTTTGTTTTGTTTTTATACTTTCAAATTATTGCAAAATGGTATTTAAATAGAAATTATATATTTTATTATTATTAGTTTTGTGCAGAAGTTTCTTGTTTTTTTTTTGTCATAATATTTATTAATGGCATTATAGTAATATTTATCTTGTCTCAACACAGACATGACGTGACACAAGGTCAGGTTTACTGTGGGGAACCTGAGCACGTACACCTGGCCAAGGACAAAAAATTGCTCAGCCTTCACAACCGTTGGTTGCACTGGCCTCAGTAGCGACTACCAACCTCCCCTCTCTCTAGTGCATTGGTAGGGTGCAGCCTCATTCAGATGTTCCCCAGGACTGGGCACTTTGCAGTATTTATTTCTTTCAGCTGTGTCTCTGTCTGCGGACAGAGCCACAACTGAGTCACACTTTGCCCAAAGACAGAAACACAACTGATAAATTATAGTCCTGAAAATATTTTCCTTTCTCATTTATGAGTTCATGCTATGTTTTAAGTAAATTGTAGATTTCATCATAAAAGAATTTGCAATGGACTCAAAACAGATTCTGTTTAAACTTTATATAAAATAAAAAAAATTCATTTTTCATTGCCAGTGACTGTGACATATTACAATAAATAAAATGCTGACCAATGTTTCTGTCCATAAGTTCATATAGAAGTCATTTTCCTTCATAAGTGATCAATGAGAGCATTTTTCTACAAAAAACAATTTCAATAATTAAATAAAAATTAAGTGTTTCTTGTGAGTTGATGCAAAACTTTCATGCATTATTATTCAATCCTGAAAGTATTTTCTCTACCTACCTATGATTTCATTGTGAATAATTTTAGTTTTGATTTAATGAATTCTTTGAATTTTTCAATTTGTTGAAACCACTAACGAGACAAGGAGTGTTGCATTTGATGAAACATGTCATCAGTAACAAGTCTGGAAAATGCATCAAATGTAGAAGAGCTTCCCAATTTCATGCATTATTTTTGCAAAAGGAAGATGACCATTATTATTATGTAACTGTAGTGGTGACTTACCTCAGTGACACAAAAGGACCAGAGTCATGTGCATGTTTTGCAAGGGAGTGTGGAGATGGTGAATTGGCAAGCTTCGGACAGACAGTGAATCGGGCAGCATTTTGGAAGTGGTGGTGTTGATTGTAGCCATTTTTATTGGCTGGTTCTGGGCGCTCATTGGGTGAGTGATGGCTGGGTCAGGTGTATAGAAACATGGTACACTCATTTAACGGGAGGTTGCTTTTCACTTCTGACGGTGAGTGACGTATTGGAGATCAAGAATGAGACAACAAGAGATGAGAAGGGTGGATTTGTTTTGCCTAGTGAACCTATTGGACTCATACTACCTTTTCTTTTCCTGTGTGTGTTTCCAACCAACTTTTGCACAGTAACAAAAATTAGAAAGTATTTTTCTTGGGCATTATTTTAATGAGCCAATTTGCATTACAAAAGAAGACTTTATTAGGTTTCAGCAATTTGTAATAATAAACAATTATTATTTGCTTAATATTCATGCTTAGAATATTGTTGCCACACATGGTCTAGTGCCACTACTATTTACCTTGAGCTCATTGATAAAATCCAAAGAAGAATCAGTAATATTATTGGTCCTGATCTAGTGGCTCAGCTTCAGTCACTTGCTCACTGCTGTAAGGTTGCCTCTCTGTGCCTTTTTTATAAATACTCTCATGGTAATTGTTCAGATGAGCTCTTCACTATGGTACCTAGAGTTTTTGAATTTAAGAACTGTACTAAACTGTCATTGAGATTTCATGAATTTGCAGTTGAGCTAGCTAGATGGTGCTATAACTTCTATGCTAACAGTTTTTTATCTCACACTTCTTGCTTGTGGAACTCCCCCCCTCGGCTTCTTGCTTTCCAACCAACTTTAATCTGCAAAAATTTAAATGTAGTGTCAATTGCTATCTACTGTCCTCCTGATTGCTCTTTTCTCTTTTCCCCCATTAGTAATGTTTCTTTTCTTAATTCTCCTAAACCTTGTAATCCCTTGTGTACTAGTGGCTGTACTGCCTCACTTGGGGTGATACTGATTATAAAATAAAATAAAATAAATTTCCTTTGAATCTCACTAAACACCAAGACTGTTTTTAATGTGGTCATGATTTTCTTTTTATTTTGGATTCTCATAATAAATTTATTTTTCATTACCATTTCTTGTCCAAAAATAACATTTTTTTTTCTCTATGGAGCAATAAGATGAAGACAATTGTTTAAACACAGACTAAAGTTCATTTTCTATCAATTGATGTGAAACTCAGTTTCCTTGTTTCTGTAAAGAGCGTAGAATGTGCATTTTTTATTCAACCATAATTTTTACTAGTATGAATTAAAATTATCAGTTTTCCATAAACGATTTTTAAAATGTACATGCAAGCAATAAAACACTGAATAAATCTCAAAGACACTTTTAAGATTTCTTTAACATTGAGTGATGGTGCTATAAACAGTGGCATCAGCCTAATAATAATATTTAATATTTTCTTTTGAGAAAAAGATTTTGACGCTCTCTCTTTTTTATCAGGGTGCCCGGGAATTTGTTGTCCCTACCCACCATCCAGGAAAGTTCTACAGTTTACCACAAAGCCCTCAACAGGTATAACTCTTGTCTTAAACTGTATGGGTGGATAGGATGAAAAAAAAAAAAAAAGAAAGAAAAACTTTATTAAAAATGATGGCAGGCTTCACCCATCACTTCTATTCTTATTTTTTCAGTATTTTTTTTTTTGTTTTGAATGAATGAATGAAATACTATAGATTTATAACTTCTAAAATTATTAGGCCATTCTTATTTACATATTGTGACACTAAATCCAGTCATCACTATGACACATTAATTAACAGACAAATCATTTCTAGATCAGTTTATTGTTGATACATCAAAAATTTTAATTATGACTAAGAGAAAATTAAAACTTAATATAATTTGATTTTTAATAATCTAAAAATATATATAAATTAAGTAGGCAGTCTTAATTTATTAATTTGATTGTTACCTGCCTTTAAGATATTCTTTCTGGAGGTTTTATTTTTGAAAATAGCTGATTAACCCATTAGCATTTAATCCACCCAAACTGGCCCTATAAATATCAGCTCTCAATGTTCAATTGGCTATAACTCATCCCATGTATACTCTGCATGCAAACAGTGAAACTTTGACCACAAATGGAGAATTTGAGAGCCGATATTTCCAGTGGTGAGTTTGAGTGTGTTGAATGCTAAAGGGTTAAAAAGGCAATATTGTTTATTAAGCAAATAAAAATGTTCCTGGCCTTCTTGCTCCTTCCAGTGAGAGTCAGGTTTCTCTGGTCTCAGGGTCTGATCAGTCAAAAAAAATTTCAGTGAGTTGGTACAGAATGAAGGGAAATGTAGATTCATGCCTTTCAAAAAGATATTGCTTTGAAGTGAACATGCAGTGGTTCAATAATTCCATTTTCTCTGTTAATAATTGTTATGTCAACTTGTATTTCTGTATAATCTTGTTATTCAAAGTAATTCTCTTTTGTCTTTCAGTTTAAGCAATTGTTAATGGTCGGTGGCATTGACCGTTATTTCCAGATTGCAAAATGCTACAGAGATGAAGGTGCCAAGCCAGACAGACAACCAGAATTTACTCAGGTCTTTTAATGTTTATTTTTATTTGTTTTTATACAAATTCTCTTTGTTATTATTTCTCATGCTTTTCAATAAGGAAAAACAAATTCAATTAAATGTTTCACCACAAAATGCTTTTGTACAGTAATAAGATCTTGTTGAGGTTATATAAGAAAAATTTTAAAATATACTGAGATATTTTACTTTTAATCAAATTTTAGGATGATCAGCTTTATATTGGGGAAATTTCTGTACCTTTTAATGTTTTCCTTTTGTCATTGATAAATTGTACAATATCCAAAGATAGTTTTTCAATGAAGTTATTTTGATTTGCTTTCACTTTAATTATTTATATAACTTGTGCTGTGTATTTGTACCTAACAGAAATTAATTTATACATAAAAAAATTTTGAATTTTTTTTCTAGATTATTTCACACACTATTGTTATGAATTTTATCTTTCAACAAAATTCAAACATATGGCTGTGAACACGGCTCACTTAAAAGAAAATCAAAATCAAATGTTCTACTCGGTTAGGCACCTATATAAACACATATAACATATAGAAAACATGTAAAGTTATACTTATTTTAATATAATAAAGATAAGGAAGAAGAAGTAAATACTAAACAAAGAATAGGAGAAAGGAAAGAAAATCTAAAATCGTCATAAGAGAAATGTCAGATGGTTTACATATTTTGATCATTATTACTTTCTTTTGGTTGAGTTGTTTCCCTTTATATGTAGAAATATTTTGTCCAATCAATGTTGTTTATTTGTTTGATTATCATCCTGAAAGCACTTTGCTTTTTATTTATGGAGGATACAGTTCAACTTGGCTTTTAAGTTCCTGATGATCCTAGAAGCTTCTAGCTTTCCATCTCTGGAAGATCGGAAGATAATTTTATGTGAGAGCCAGCCCATGGAGAAAGAAATAAATATTTGCACGATCCCTCAGTGTAACAGCTATGATTCTCCTGACAAGTTAGTGCAGGGACCCACTTAACATTGAATGCTACATGTGAAATCAAATCGAACCGTTGAACTAATTCAAAAGTATTCAAGGCTGTTTGTTTGTGACAATTCTGCGTTCACCTGATGTTTGCGAGTTCTTAATATTATCCAATTTTTAAACAATAGGAAGAAAGAATAAAAGATAAATTATTAAATTTTAGGCTGGGGATTTATATTTAATATCAATACCTCAAATGATTGATTTAATTCAATTTAATTACTTTTAATATAAATAAAGCGGGTCATGTCACATTATTCAAACAACTATTTTCATTATTTACATTATTCAGACTATTGTCTTCATCTTTGTTGCCATATTTATTACAATGTTTCGGCTATTGTACGCTCTGCCCTTCTTCAGGTGGTTGAAATGTTAAACTGAACCCTTTATTTCACTCACTGGGGTAGACTGTTCTAGTTCCACATGCCATGTTTATTGGTTGTCAGTTATCAGTTGTCTTCCAACCACCTGAAGAAGGCCAGAGTGTACAATGGCTGAAACATTGTAATAAATATGGCGACAAAGATGAGGACAATAGTCCAAATAATGTAAATAGTGTACATAATACCACATCTCAGAAATATGGACAGAAACTATTTTCATCTTTATTATTTATATTGTTTTCATTAATCTTTGGCCACCAATGAGTGTATGGGGTACTCAGTGGTTTCAAATCTTAAGTATTTTTTAATCTTAAAAAGAACACAAATTATAAACAAGATTGAGTTTATCATGTGCCAAATTTTTGAAATATATATATATTAATGGAAATAGAAATTTTAATTGGCCTTACATTGATGCCCTGATATGGAAGGCCTAAATGACTGTAAATAATGCATTGAAACATTGTTTCTTTTGTGATGTTAAATTTGCTACTAGATGAGTAGATTGAGGATGACAAGAAAACATTAGTCGCAACATTGTTATATCAACAATAAAGAAGGTATTAACCAGAATAATATGTGAACAAGATACTGCATAGAAGTTCAAACAGTTTTATATAAATCTTTAAATTTCTTTAAATTATATATTTTCCATTTTTGCAATGAGGAATTATCATTATTATATACTTTACTATTCGGACCAGTATGCCCATCTTGGTTGGTATACTCACATTGTTTGTCAGAATCTTTGAGATGTGGAGTTATTTTTATATGCTTTACTATTTGGACCAACATGCTTGTTTTGTTATACTCAGAATGATTTGACTGTTGACATCCCTGTGATCTTAATCAAGCTCATTATTCAGCCTGCTAGGGTAATTCAAGGTATAAATGGCCTAGTCAATTAAAGTATTGATTAAAACAGATATTGTTCCTTGGTAATTGTGAGTTCCATTCCTTGATCTGGTCGTGCTGAAAAGTCCTATACTCTGGTTTAGTGGAAGAAACAAAGAAGCAATGCAAAGTGGAATAAGACTGGCGAATCTGATATGTAATATGCCATTAGTATGGAAAGTAGAATGAGAACAATCTACCTCAATCACTTGAATAAAGTGTTAAGTTTAAAATCACAAGAAGGTTACTGAGTATGACAGCAGCCTTCAGAAGATGGTCAGAGTGTACAGCAGGCATAACATTTTGAATGTAACAATGAAGATGAGTCTGCTGATCAAAATAGTAAAGCATATAATAATGATATTTCTACAACCTTTGCTAAACAGATCAATATACCATTGTTTTTTACTCTTCAGTACACTTGATTTTTATTATGTTCCTTAATAATTGCTTTTACCTTTTTTGATAGGTAGACATAGAAATGTCCTTTGTAGATATGGAAGGTGTGATGTCCCTAACAGAACAACTTTTGGCAGCATCATGGCCAGAATCCAAAACCAAATTCAATCTTCCTTTCCCACGTTTGTCTTTTAATGAGACCATGGCATTATATGGTACTGATAAACCAGATACTAGATTTGGTTTTCATGTGAGTAAATTTGTTATGACTATTTTCCATTTTATTAATATTCACTTTAGTGTTGGGGGCGGTGGGCTTATCATAAAGAGACGATGGGTATACTCATCCTCACCAGCTTTCCTTTTTGTGCCAGATTAAACTAATATCTACTTCTGAAATCATTATTTCTGCTATCCCATTTTTAACTAATACTTAATCAGTTTCATGCCTAAATGTTATAAAGATTGCATTGAGGCATTAAACTGACAGTCACTATGCAGTGTTGATTCCTATATCTCCACTAAGTCTCTGTCTTGGCTTAATTTCCCATTTCAGGTTTCTTGATTCTATTGTTTAGGTTGATATCTGTTTCTTTTTTGGCAGACTTGGTATAAGTAGGATTGATTTTTATCACTCTCCCTTCATCTATTACATTAGTTTATTCTGTGTGTGTGTGTGTGTATGTATGTATGTATATATATATATATATATATATATATGTGTGTATGTGTGTGTGTGTGTGTGTATATATATGTGTATGTGTATATATATATGTATGTATATATGTATGTGTGTGTGTATATATATGTGTATGTATAGATATGTGTGCGTGCACGTATATGTATGTGTGTATGTATAGATATGTGTGCGTGCACGTATATGTATGTGTGTATGTATAGATATGTGTGCGTATATGTATGTGTGTATGTATGATATGTGTGTGTATATGTATGTGTGTATGTATAGATATGTGTGCGTGCACGTATATGTATGTGTGTATGTATAGATATGTGTGCGTGCACGTATATGTATGTGTGTATGTATAGATATGTGTGTGTGCATGTATATGTATGTGTGTATATATATGTGTATGTGTATATATATATATATATATATATATGTATGTATGTGTGTGTATGTGTACAAATGAGTTTACTAATTCCTCATAGTAAGACAGTATATGTATGGAAGGGGAATATATACACGCATGCTGACAGAAACACACGAAAATGGAAACAGATCTAAGAATACACAGGGGTCATTAAAACATTAAAAGATAAAATGCCGATAAGTAATTCATCATTTCGCTTGGACCAACCTTAATTGTTTTATGACCCTTCATGCAGAACTCTTCACTGCCAATTCAAGAAAGACATTCGGATTACTAACACAAAAACAGAGAATGTCTCATATCGAGAATATTTAACATTGAAAAACATAAGTAAAAAATTAATTATTTTTAATAATATGTGGAAATCTTTGCTTTTACCTGAAGACAGTCACAAGACCAGAAACACGTGTAGTAAAATTATGGAAAATAAAGCATATTTTTAAAAAAAAAAAAATCCACATTACAACCAAAAACGTTTGCAGCACTTCTCTTCTTTTTAATATACATACTTTTCTCTCATTGGAACCACTACAACCTCTTTCTTTTTATATATATATATATATATATATATATATATATATATATATATATATATAAAGACAAATATAATATATATGAATAAGGAAAAAGGAAAACTTTTCATTACCAATATGTTTCATCCTCTAATGGACTTTATCAAATGTAAGAATTTTATTTAGCAACATGTATTTATAAATAGAAGTAAAAAAATTATTTTTAATTTTCTAAATTTTTTAAATTTCAGAACCATCAAATATTCTTTGGGCTAACTGAAAGTCAAGGTAAACTATGGAGAATGCTACATGATGTCACAGTTTACCTTGACTAAGACAGCCTGAAGAATATTATATTTCAAAATTTTGAAGACCTAACAATATTTTTACTTCTGCTTAAAAATCCATGTTGCAAAATAAGATCTTTACATTTACCTTGATAAAGCCCATCTGAGGATGAAATCCATTGGCTAAGTTTTCCTTTTGTCTTTATTCATATTGTCTTTTTACAGATATATTTTTTTAATTATATCTGAATTTTTACATATATATTAGAATTAAATAAAAGTTAGTGGATCAATGCCTGAAGGCCATTGATTAGTAATGATGTCACTAAAACATAAAATTTTGGAACCACCAATCAAACTACCAAAATGGCAATGTGGTGTTTGAAGTGTTATCCATTTATGGGGAGGTGGATCTGCTAAGCTCTGACTAAGTCTATGAGGAAAGCAGGTCTGATGTTGAAAGACCCAAATCTCCCAGTGATTATGGTTAAAACATCATTAACAACACCCTATAAGTCTATCAGAAAATGTATTTTGTGAAATATATTTATCTTAGAGTGCATATACTCAAAATTTGTGTATGTGTAGAATTATATATATTTTTTATATCCCAACACAATATATGTAATAATAATTCTGTAGACTAATGATGGAAAAATTATTTAAATTACAAACAAATATTCATTTTTCAACATAATCCCCTTCTTTGTATATATAAATCAGTGGCAAATATTGATCACATAGTTCAGATATTATACATTAAAAATTTCAGATTAAAATTCACTAATTGTCAGGTTACAATCAGTCTCTCTCTCTCTCTCTCTCTATATATATATATATATATATATATATAGGAAAAAATCAGATAGACCCAGGTTGGATGGGTAAGGAATTTGTTTTAGCATAGCATTGGTCATCAAGGGGACCCGTTTATAAATATGATAATTTTAAAAAGGAAAATAATCTATATAAAGTTGATCTAGTGTATAGGTTAGCTTCCAGTTTTTGAGCTTAAAATAAAAAACATCTTAAATTTGTCTATTGATCTTGCTGTTGGCCATGTTGATGGGTAGGATTCTTGAATAAAGATAATCTTTGATAACTAAATTCAAATCTGCTTAATAAATTATTCTTAATCTGCTTAATGTTATAAGATAATTTATTCAGAAATTATCCAATGGTTATTTTTCAAATCAACAAGTATAAACCAATTAGAGCAATTACCAAAAACAAGTCGTTTCACCCCTAAGCAAGGTGATAATGTCACTAGAATGCAGGGCATTGCACTTAAATTCTTATAAATGAATCTTATTTGTATTTTCTTATTCTTTTGATTCGGTTCTATTAAAAATAAGAAAGGCATTTAATTTTCTGCTAAAATAAACATTGAAAGTTTTTTTGATTTGGTTTCAACCTGCAGTTAGGTATTTAAGCATTCAAGTCAGTCTATTAAATCACTAAATTATGGATTAAACTGATCTGAAACTAAATTGATGAACTTTAGTTGCAGATTCACAAACTAATGACACCAGTTTCAAAATATGTCAGATCATGGAAATTACCAGTCTAGAGTTTTTTTTGTATTTTTTTACCCCAATCCTTCTCCTCTTTGTCAGTGGCATGTTTATATATATATATATATATATATATATATATATATATATATATATATATATATATATATATATAAAAAAAAGTGTGTTGGGAGAGAAAATTCAACTTACTGCCAGAGTATACTAAATTGGTGAAATCACTATAACAGGAAAGTTTATTTTCTCATAAATTTTATATCTTAAATTCCTTTATATTTTCATTTTTTTAATTTTTATTGAGGTTTCAGGAAAGTCCCAAAAGGAACAGGATGTTGCTTTGTGTCTCTTTTTAGCTAAGGTGATAAATTAGATGTAGAATACATGTGACACGCTGTTGCTAGGTTTGATGAGTCTGTACTATTCTTATTTATATTTTCAGTTGAAAGATATCTCTGCTTCTTTGCAAAATTCTGGGATACACTTTATTGATAAAGTTTTATCCCTGCCTGATGGTTCTGTTCAAGCTGTGGTGGTAGAGCAAGCAACTGTAAGTTTAATCTATTTCCATTTAACCCTTTTACATATTTACATTTTGTTTTTCAGTATTTCAATGCAATTAATAAAAAATATTATCTTATTAAATTTGTTGATGATGTCAATGCCAATTATGCATAAGAAAGTCAAATCCATTATTGCTGTTAATAATGTATTACTGGTAATATTTTTTTCTTCAGAAATACATTGCTGCTATTAAAAGCTATTTTTACACTTTCATAGTGTTTTGACCCCAATTTGGGGGTTAACTATTTGCCCATAGCTGAGACCCTAACAGGTGCTACCAGAGTGGACCTGGGAACACCAGCAATTAAGAGGTGGTTCCATACTCCTCAAAACCGCCTTGCTGCCAGATGTAGTTTATCATCTTACCCAGGATGGCCACTTAGTTTAGAAATTGGCATTAAATATACAGTGTGATGCTAAAAAGTTCTCAGTCTGATCTACTTCCTAAAATCTGATCAAATTAGATCAATAATGGTTGACCTGAGAACTTTTCATTACCCCATTGCATAATTTCTTTATTTTGCAAGTAATGCTAGTCTTAATTTCTGATGACTGACAATACCTTTCTTCCCAATTTTCAGTGTATTTTTTTAGTAAAATCATTAGTAGTTAATTTCTTTTCTTTTTATATGCTGTATCCTTTCAAGACATAGGTGATCATGACTCTCCATTTCCCTTGTAGCTCTCAATAAGTTTCCTCCCTCTGCCACCTCCCCCCAGACCACTTTCACCAAGCCCTCCCTTCTAATTACATGTCCCAGAAACTTCAGCTGCCTCTTCCTAGTTTGCATCCTCTCCAAGGCCTCATTGTTGCTCACATGCTCGGTCCATGATATCTTCAGCATCCTTTTGTAGAACCACATCTCCTTTGCCTTGAGTCTCTTCTTCATCTTTGAGGAAACCGTCAAGCATTACACTGTAAAGGAGAACAGATGTTCATTTACATTATATATTAACTCAATTCTGTCAGTCATGGTTGAATTAATTCCTGAACAGTAAAATCCTTTTCTCCTTTTATAATATACAGATTGAAAGCCAAAATGAAATATATTTGATGCTTAACACTTCCATTGATGCATTGTTATAACATTGTTGCCTTGCTGTGCTGTCCTGTTTTGGGAGAAAATAGGAAATTGCCATTTACTGGAAATAAATGACTATAAAGACACTTACAGTAATTTCTCATGAACATCACCATTTTGGTTTTGATTGGATAATCTGCAATACCGGCACCTCCAATGAATATGATAAAAATGTCACAAAACCAATTTTATTGTACGTCTACGCTGATTTGGAAATAACACTAAGCACTTAAATAGTTTATAAAAGCTGGATGCTAAAATTTCGTGGTGTCTTGAAAAATTATATATACAAGGTGTGTCAAAAAAGAAACAGGACTAAAGTCACAAAAATGTCTGTTAAATCCAAACTGCAAATTACAAGTTTTCTCCTTCAAAATTATTCCCCTTCAAATCTAATGCATGCCTCCAGATACTCCTGGAAGAATTCTCCACAGCTGCATTGTCATGGCCCTATATGGCTTCCATGTCCGGAAAACAAGTCCTCTTTATAACCCCCTTGAGCTTGGGGAAAAGGAAAAAAATCAGACAAAGCCATGTCAGATGGGTGGGGAGGTTTTCTCCACCTTGGCATTGCTCATCAAGTGGATCCATTTTCCAGACATGGAAGCCATTAAGAAGGCCATGACGATGGAGATGCAGAAAATCCTAGAAGAATCTTTCCAGGATCCCATAGAATTGTGGCAGAGAAGGACAGGAAAGTGCATTAGACTCAAGGTGGATAATTTCGAAATGGAGAACTTGTAGTTTGGATTTTTTTGTGGCTTCATTCCTTTTTCTTTTCTGACACACTTTGTACATTAACAACAACAGGCAATATCAATTTTATAAAGATGTGTAAGTACATCAACAGCAACTGAAGTGTTAAATGGTTTTTTTTCTCTACTAGAAATATTTACTTTGTTAATACCAAAAATAATTAAGGTGGAAACTCGTGGTAGAATAATGGTAAAGCTGAGATATTGTCTTTGAATACTAAGTTCAAATGCAGTCATTAGTAAAAATAAAAAAAACGATGATGTATTTGTTTATAGATCTCACCCATAATATCCTAGGTTATATATAACTATGATGGGTAAACAAATGAAATGTTTTTTAGTGATGTGTTCCCTTCCAAGAAGCAACTTTTTCAGACTAATAATAGCTTTATTTATGACTTCACTCATATATAATGAGGAAATAGGAGGGAGAAAAAAAAACAAAAGACTATTATTTTATTCTATTGCTCTACATATGTCAACAAAAAAGAAAATACATTGACACAGATGTTAATTCATTAAATGAGAAAATAATAATCACCCCTATTCATTCCATTTAATTGCTAAAAAAACAAAAAGAAAACACATCATGTGTTAAATTTATATTTCTACTTTTTTTAAAAACAAACTTTTTTTTCACTATTATTATTGTTGCTTTTTTAGATGAAACATTTTCACTAATATTATTTTATTACTAATTTTACCCCATCTTATTGTTGCTTTTTAGATGAAGCATTGTCACTATTATTTAATTATTAGTTGTACTCCATCTTATTATTGTTGCTTTTTTAGATGAAGCACTTTTACTATTATTATATTAAGTTTTACACCTATTGTTTTTTGGGATGAAGCATTTTCATGAATAATTGATTATCAAATGGCTTTTATTCATACTAATATGCTTACCATATTATACTCATGTTTTTGCTGTCTTGTTCAACTTTCTGTTGTACTTTGTAACCTCTCAAGAATTTTGAACCAAACACTTTATTCAATCTGTAAGAGTAGATTGTTCTCAGTCTACTTTCCAAGCTTAGGGGAGATAACTCATTTATTTTTATCGTTTTTTTTTTCCTAAGCATTTCACCCCAAGCAAGGCGGAAGTGCCACTAGCACGCAAGGGGTTACAGAGTGTAGAGAACAAAAGAGGCATATTTGGGAAGAGGATGAAGAGAAGTACAGGGAACAAGATTTAGGTATCAGAATATGTCGACTGACATTACACTTGAATATTTGAAGATTATAGTTATCATGGAAGCAAGTAAGAGGAAGTGAATTCCACAGACGGAATGTGTGAGAGAAGAAGCTGTTTGAGTAGACAGAGACAGTTACACTTAACCATTTTGACAGTGAAAGGGTGAGACCGAGATGCCAACCTAGTAGCTCACTTAAATTCATGCAGTCTGAGAACCAGTGAAAGCAACTCATTGGAACAGTTGCCATGAAAATACTTATAGAAGAGACAGAGGGAAGCCACGGCATATCTGTGAGAAAGCAACTGTAGACTAGATGCCAGATCAGGACCTATCACATTGCATATCCATCTCTGGATTTTATCAAGGACCTCAAGACTTACAGCGGGGGCACCAGACCATATATAACAGCAATATTTCATGCAAGGACAAATGGTTGATTTATAGATTTGAAGGATGAACTCAAACAAGAAAACCTTTCTAGCATAACACAGAGAACCAAATTTCCTTGTGGTAGATAAAGCTATTGAGTCTATGTATTTGTTCCACCTCATATCAGCGGACAGCGTGAGACCAAGCAGATGCAACAAGACAGTCTCATGGAGTTGGGCATCAGCCATTCTGATGAGAGGCAGGGAGGGTTCTCTGTGGTGGGTAAATGAGAGCAGTTTTGTTTTGGAGGCATTGAAATTTACAAGCCATTTCCTGCCTCGGTCAACCACAGATTGGAGGTCCTTTTCAAGACTGGCAGCTAAGTTAGTTTTGACAACAAAAACAAATTTACTATTGAGGCAGGAGTAAATAGTAGTGTCATCTGTGTACATGCCTACTTGGGCACTAATGACATTGGGTAGGTTGCTAATGAAGATCAGGCATAGTGTAGGACCCAATATAGAGCAATGGGAAAAATCAACGTTTGTCATAAAGGAGCTGGAGGAGAACCCATTTAGGACGTTGTTCATTTCACAGTTACACAGGAATGATTGTATTGTCAAATAATTGTCCTCTAATGCCGTATCCCTGAAGCTTATGAAGAAGGCCTGCATGCCAAACCCTATCAAATGTTTTAGAGATATCTAGAGCCACGGCTTGAGTTTCTGCATTATTGTGAAGTGCTTGGTATACAAATTCAGTTTTGGCCATGATCACATCAGCAGTAGATTGGGCAAAGCAGAAACCATATTGCTTGTCAGAGAGCAGATTATGGGAAGTAAGGTGCTTAACCACTTCAGTGTCGATTAAGGCCTTGAAGACTTTACCAAAGAGTGGTAAGAGACTGATAGGATGGTAGTTAGGTGGGTCAGAAGGGTCTCCAGAGTTCTTAAAGACAAGCACAACAGATGAGGACTTTTAACAGGCTGGAAAGCAAGAGTCGATGAAGCAGTAGTTGTATAGTTTGGAGAGGACAGGAGCCAGTTCAGGAGCACATTTCTCTAGGACAGTGGCTGGTATCCTGTCCTCACTGCTAGCCTTATAGGAGACTAATTTAGAGATGATGTCCGGTACCACTGTTGGGGTTATGTGCATCTCACTCAGTAGAGCCTCAGTTCTGGGGAGAAAACCAGGTGTGAGTACACCAGATGAGTCTAGCATTGAATTGGATGAGAATTTCTGAGCAAACCATTCAGCCTTGTCACCTTGGGAAGTCAGGACCTCAAATTGGTTGAATAATGGAGGTATTGTGACTTTACTGTTGTTTAGCATGCTCTTGCAGAGCTGCCAATAATCTTTAGAACCAAACTTGTGAAGCAATACATTGTTTCATTGTAATACTTCAACTCGATCCTGGCTTACAGCAAACCAATCCTGGTTCACAACACTTCAATCCGATCATGCTTTGATCAATGGAGTGATCTCTTCGATCCTGACCTGCCTTACCCCATGTTGTGATTATTTTGATTATAAGGAAGCCAAGATCGATTCATTGCTGGTATCTTTGTGCTGGGCTGGTCCAAGTCAAGCGAAGTTGTACAATAAAATTTTTAAAAATGGCACTCATAATATATATATATATATAAAAAAAATAATTACTATCTTTATATCAGTTCTGCATACAAGGATTCATTAGCGTTTGTGTTCACATACAGGTATTTGTTGACCCAACCTATTCCTAAATCAGGTGCAAGCTGGTAAGTTTTTGGCTTGCAGAGTTATCGAAATTTGTTTTACTGTTTTGGTAAATTTGGCTCAAGGCTGAAGTCAGAGGTTCTTGTGTTTGGCAGGAAGTGTGGAATCTCTCAGCCACCTCTATCACTTCCCTTCTCAGCTCTCTGGCTCTGCACTCAACTCCCTCAACTGTCTGAATGGCTTTCACGCATTCATTTTTATGGACTCCAACTAGAATCCAGTACAGGGCAAGATGTAGGCTGGGTTTCGGTGAATCCCCTGATTTCAAACAAAAGTCTATTATTTTTGGTCATGAGAAATCAAATTAGTTTCATAATTTTGGGAAATTCTCCCTCTCTTGTGGGGGGTCAGTTGCAGACATTGCTCCGCCTGGCTGCCCCCACCTCCTCTTAGTACCATCTCTCGCTATTGCTCCCCAGTGGGTGTGAGCAGTTCCTTCAACCTCCTTAATGTCTCCTCTGTGCTTGCTACTCTTCAGTGGGTGCAGACTACTCCTCTTCCTTCTTTGATCACTCTTCTGAGCCTGTCACCTCCAACATTCGCGAAATGGATTCATTTAGCTTTAACTCAAGTCTTCTCATTAGATTCAGGCATTAGTTGTCACCGGCTGTCAACAGCTAATTTGTTCACACAAATTGAGATTTGCTTTCAAGCAGTCATTTGGTCCATTGTATATATTTCGATTCTCTGAGAACAATTCTTAATATCAGCCTATTTTTCCGGTATTGGTTAACCCCTTTTTATGCTAAGTTATTCATTATTATCTCATTTTCAAATCGCCATTTTGATTATTAATTACTAGCAACCCAAATAATGTCACACATTCTTTCGGCAAAGAGTAAGTTTGCTTCATTGAGGACACACTTGCACTCATTATGGGCAGTGACAAAGAGAAGTCTTTTGCTATCGGACATGTCGCTATGGTACACACAGAAGTAGTGATTCCTGCGGGCAATAGCAGCTGAGCAAGCATCTGAGAACCAAAGAGAGCAACACGATTTCACTTTATATTTTCTTGCGGGGATGAAAGCCTTGATTCCAGCTTTCACCCAAGATGAGACCTCAGATGTAAATTTTTGGACAGGGAGATGAAAAATAACATTCCAGGGGACATCATGGAGGAAATCACAGAATGAATCCCAGTCTGCTTGTTCTGTAGTCTTTTTTGTCTTTGTATCACTTGTCCCTTTCTCCTACTGAATCAAAGTATATTTCTGCACTATCTGACCCTGAAATTGCCAGTAAACTAGATATACTAATTCCAAGACTTTAATCCACTCAGCCATGTGTCTTTTGGACAATCCAGTAGTGGAATTTTGGAGCTTGATTCATGGATGGGAATTTTGAATATCTTTTCTTTCTTAATCAAATGCTCCTAGATGGTGCTCATCTATATGCTAGGTCTACTGTGGAGGTTGTCAGAGCCTCACATGTGACTAACACTTTTGATGCGCATTCATCCTTACCTTTTCATCTTGGGTATGATGATAAACTACATCCGTGTCCTGGGTAAGACGATAAACTACATCCAACAGCAAGGCCTCTGATCAGGAGGTTCTGAGGATGTGGAACCACCTCTTAATTGCTGGTGTTCCCAGGTCCACCCTGACCCAGGGTGGTAGCACCTGTTAGGGTCCCAGCTATGGGCAAATAGTTGACACCCAAACTTGTGTAAAAATAGGTTTTAATACCAGAAATACTTTGTAATAAAAAAATTATTACCAGCAATAATTTTTGAAGGAAAAATTATTATCAGCAATACTTTAAAAAAAAAAAAATACTAGCAATACAAACATCTATACATTCTTTGAAAAAAAATATTACCAGCTATAGATTTCTTCAAGCAAAAATATTCCCAGAAATAGATTTTTGAAGAAAAACATTACCAGCAATAAAAATTTTGTCAGCATTAAATAACCCATTGAGGTTGATATACCGTAAACCAAACCAAACATCTTTACCTTTAGTAGGTGGTTGGTCTTTGTATTAATTGCATGGGATGCTAATAGTCATGTTGTATAGACTGCAGATTCTTTGAATTTTTTCACATGTAATCTTCTCTCCATCTCTCCTTGGTTATGGGAGGTGATGTTACACATACACTCTAGTTACTTTAAAGGGTGCTTTTAATGTTGATCATCTTCTTGGTATGTGTGGGGCCTAATGTAGGTAGCAGACGATCCCTTTCTTGATGCTGTATTTAGAGTTGGAATTGAAGTTCAGGTGTTATCCAGAAAATGTTAGCTTTACAATATACAAATATCTTCAATCCATATACTGTGTAAATTATTAGTACATCCAAGAAGACCAGTTGGATACCTCTTAACTGCTATTCTTAAGGCTTCCCTGACTTGGGGTGGTAGCATCTGTTAGGCTCCCAGCTATGGGAAAATAGTGACCCCCCCCCCCAAAAAAAATGAACAGTAAGTAATAAAATGACCAACAATGCATTTTTGATAGTAAAATTACCAACATTATATTTTATGATCTACAAGCTATATAAAAAAAAAATACCTTTACCCTGTAAGTATAAAAATATGTACAAAATATTTAGATTTTGGCATTAAATAACCCATAGAGGTGTTGATGTGCCGTTAAACAAAATCAATCAACCAACAAGACTAGTTGATCTTCTGCTTTCTTTTCTCTTGTGAACTATATAAAAGCTCTTACTAAATTCACATGGTTCATCAGTGCTCGGATATTGTCCTGGTATCACCAAAATATCGAGGTACCATCTAGATATCTTAGTGACCCTGTTGACTTTAATGATGACATTCCTATAACAATCTTATGAAAGTATTCCATGTGTATCTATGCCATTGCTGGAGATACTGTTAGTATATGTCAGAGCTTAATTGGAAGTATTTTTGTGACGAAAGACATGACTTACCTCAGAATTCAAAACGAGCATGAACGTGTCTTGTCTGCAAAGTGATGATAAAAAGAAATATGGCCACTATTGAAGACATAATTTATGAGCGCCTATAAAACGAGATGATATTTGCACACATGCAAATTTTGGCAGGATTGGAATAGCATAAAAAGCGGGGTGCCAGCAGCACAAGAGAACCAAAGTCATTCGGCAGATAGCGCGCAATAAAGTTGGACATATGGATTGACAGACAGACAAAGAGGAAGTCAAAGTAGGCGCGGCTGAGTTGGTGTCTGTTTCACAACTGCCCAGTGTAACAGCTGAGAAAGGGAGCCACACAATCCATTTCCTTGAGGCGACCAAAGAAGAAGAAAAAATAGCTGGCCTGCCAGCGAGCACCGCACTACACTTTTTGACCCCCCCTTTTTTCAACAATTTTGTTTGTGCACACAATGTCAATATCTTCATTAGGTTATCTGTTACAAACCCTTGTATTCTCTCCTAGAAAGAACTCCAATTCTAATTTGTCTCCAAACCACCAAAAAGAATTCATCATTGAGAACCTTGAGTCCAGTCTCACTATCCATATGAAAGTAACAACCATCATGAAACTGGGCCTTTCTATATTTAACTCTGACTTCTGTCACGCTTTCTTAGGGCTCTACTCACCCCACATATTTGGATCATTTGCTTTTTTATTTTCATTTTTACCACCTTTTCACTATTATTATTTTATTACCAGTTTTACTCCATCTTTTTATTGTTGCTTTTTAGATAAAACATTTTTACTCTTTATTTTATTACCAGTTTTACTTCATGTTATTGATTTTTTTTTTTTTATATCCTAAGTCTGTACACTTTTTGACCACTAGAATAGTATGAATTCAGAAATAAATTAATAGTTTTTGATATAACTTGTACACATATCCTGATTCTTAAAACCTGTTTTTCATGCAGTAACAATAAGATGAAATACAATGATTTACTAATAATCCTGTATTTCAATTGTTTTAGTCATTTATTATCTGTGTATCCAACTCTGAATCATTAACAATATATTGTAACCATTGTTCTTTTATTTTTGTAATTACTTACAGAAATATTTTACCAAAAAGGATTTGACTAGCCTCCAAGAATTTGTGCAGTCTGAAAGCAAAACTTCTACAGTAAGTTTCTTTATCTCTTTTTTTTTTTTTTTTTTTCCATTTGGAAACATTTGCTTCTGAAATAAAGGCAGAGTTTGAATTCAACACAGATTCAGAACATCTTAGATCTTGTTGGTTTGCTGTTAATTTCTTTGCAGGCTGTTAAAAGTTAGAAATTTCTCAGTCATTCACAGATTTGTCAAGCAAATTTATTGACTGTGAATAGCAAGCAAGTCACTTGAATCAAACACAATTCAAAACCTGAAACTACCAAAAGGAGATTTTTCTAGAACAGTTTAGCATATTCCATGAATTCTGATTGGCGTATTCACATAATAAGAATCAACTTTCCAGGAAAAAAACAGCTTTTCAGCTATGTAATGAAAATACAAAGGCTACCTAAAAAATAAGGGCAGCACTGTAAATGGATATGTTAACATAAAAGTTGAAAATAACATTAAAGTTGTTACTGCTTCTGTCCCATATTTATTATATTTAGTATATGAAATGTGTATATGAAAGTAATGGCATTCATTGTACAAAGGTAGTAGTAACTAAATCTAATATAGGAAACTATATTTAGAGCATCATGTGAAAATAGAAAATATTATTTTCTTCAAAATTTGCACTTAATCATCTCAAGATATGTTGTTGCGGACATTGTTACAAGTGTAAAAATGTGGGTATAATAAGGTGTTGTAGTGCAATGAAAGTTCTAATAAGAAAGGAAAGAAAATCAAAATCAACATGAAATTCAAATATATCTCTAAATAACTAGAGATATTTATTAAAATGATACATGTGTTTGTTGAAATTTACCATCAGTAGTCAAAAGAGAGAGAGTTTATTAATTGCCTGCCAAGGTGGACACAAGGCAGGGTCATTATTGGCTTATCTATTGACCAGTTAGAGGACTCATTATATGCCAGTTACAGCAATGCCATTAAAGAGACCTCTCGATTGGCCACTTTTCTTTAAATTCTTACGAGGGGTCTTTACAACTTGTTTATAATATTTTAATGTTTGGCATTGAGTTTACTAATTATTGTGATAGCAAAGCTGTTGGCATGTAATTTGATGTGAAAAATATTTTGTGAATTTTTTATCAGGTCTATCAATTTATGGAGGTTAAAATGAGTTCACCAAGTTGTAAAGAATGGTGGTAAGCTACTTGATACTCTATAACTGGAGGGTAGGTTGATTTTTCACTTTTTTTTAGAAAATCAACATTGCACTTGGTGAGAAAGCTGGAATTTGATGTGTAATAAAAAATTAGATTGGTTTGGTTTGTCAAAAATTTATTTCTGGCAATAATTTTTTCCTTTAAAAAATGTATTGCTGGTAATTTTTTTCAAAAAAAAAATATTGCTATTAATATTTCTTTCCCTCAAAAATGTATACTTGGTAATAGTTTTTTTTACTTCAAATATTTATTGCTGATGATAATATTTTTACAAAGTATTTCTGGTATTAAAACCTATTTTTACACTTTCATAGTGTTTTTACCAGTTTCAGGGTTAACTATATTCCCATAGCTGGGACCCTAACAGGTGCTACCACCCCGGGTCAGGGTAGACTTGGGGAACACCAGCAATTAAGAGGTGGCTCCACGCTCCTCAAAACCTTCTGATCAGAGGCCTTGCTGTTGGACGTAGTTTATCATCATACCCAAAATGCCAAAAATTAGATTCATAGCTTTTACCAATTTTTAAGCATTTAGGTTTAACGATCATCTGAAAAACTGTACAGATATACTAAATTTTTCACAGGTTCAACTGACTTCAAAATTTCACTATTTCAAGAATAAATTCAAATAAAGTTTTTATTTTTGTATTAGATACATTGAATGGAAAATATATTCAAACCAGAATTCTAATTATGTATCACCACATGCAAAATATGTAATTTTTTACTGTATTCAATAAGTGAAAACTAAAAATTGTAAAAGTTTACCAAAAAGGCTAATCAATGAATAAGATGGATCATGTTGAAAATATACAGTTTTTATGGAATTTATTATCCATTTCAATTTCAAACCAACTAAGTGCATATAATTCAATTATAAATTTTATAATGCTGTACAATTTATCATAGCATCCTGATGGATAGGCGCCTTTCCTCCATAAATATATGTAGAGACACATTTTTGCCAAGCAACAAATCTAGTGTTCACTTTCCCTCGAGAAATTCTTGCTGTATATTCTAAGAGTAGTTTCTGGTCACCACTTAAATATTCCACTCCTCCTGATTAAGATATAAGTTATCAGAGGGCAACTAATAATGTTAAATTCTACCTGGGGCAAATCTGGTAATCATTTCTGTAAAGTTTCTCGAGAAAACCAGTAAAAGTATTAGGGCTTCTTGTCGTTCCATCAACGTACTTAAAAACAGCTCTAAATGGAAGTTCACTTTGATGAAGTGAACAGTCACTGATGTGCATCTTTTAAGTTTTTTTTTCCAGAGCTGTAGCAAGCTCTGCCTCACAATGAAGGTTTCTACTGGTATTGTCTACAAGAGCTTCCTTAATGGAATTCATGCTGTTAAATTCTTCTAAAACAGCAGCAACATCCTCTACTTGCATCAATATTAGGGACATCTCTGTGGGTAACAAATCTACTTTCTGTGTCCATCTCTTGTGAAAGTCAAGTGGCATTCTGATTCTTTAGTTTTGTTAATCTTTTCACCATTTTCCTCTGTAATTCCTTTGTATTGCAAAATTTCTGTGGTAACCCCAGCCCCTTGTAGAAGCAAGTGAGCCAGAGTAGCTTGCATCTGGTGCATAGGAAAATAAGGATTTTACCTTAACGGGCGGTATGTGACATCAGCAAGTTTACCCCATGAAAATAGCATTACTCTCCTGTCTAGCAGTTCCAGCAGTATGTACGGTAATGAGGGTTTTTGTACAGTTTGGCATGCTTCCACCAATAGCAAGTCATGTGCTGATTGGTCAAACTGGTGGAGGCTATTTGCCTGGGTAACTGAGAATAAAAGTGAAGAACGCTTATTGGTTGGTCAACTGCTGTGTTGGCCTGATAAAAGAGGGCTGAAGCAGTGAAAACAGCAGAACAAAAGACAGATATACGTTGTGAAGTGTTCAGAAAGCAAGAACGATGAATTGAGCCAGCGGTATCTTGATTTGTACAAGTGACGTCGTAGCAATACATACTTATTTAAACTACAGTGTCCTTATCAACTATGCAGTTAATACCAATGCAGATGATATTTTCATCATTGATTACATTTACTCTTGCCTCTTGTGTATTTTTAATGTATCAATGATAATGTCCTTTGAGTTAAGGCTTTAATGATTAAAGGTCATATCTTGTAGATGTAATAAAAAGGGATTAGCAAGCCATGCCCCAAGGTTAGAAGATACATCACTCTTAATAAGTTCCATGCCATATCTAGGGATTGTAAATTCCCTTATACTGTCTCTTTGGCTCAAAACTGTCATCACTTGTTTCTTCACAGAAAAACATTGGTGGAAAAATATCTGTTGTTGCTATCTTTCAGTCTGTCTAATCTCTCTGCTTCAGCTGAAGTTTTTTTTTAATATTTTTTGACAGCATCTTTGTCAATAGTTCCAAGTTAGAAACTGCCTTTTAGTCTTTTTTTGCTTTTTGAGGTTTTAAAAAATGAGTATAAGTTTAAAAACAGATCTAGCATATGTGATAAATATGAAGGAAAACATTACAATATTATTTACCAAAGAAAGTAATATTATCAGGGGTAAATATATATTTTTAAATTAATTTAAAATTTTTAAAAACAGGACATTAACTAGTTTCAATTAAAAGAAGAAAAACAAGCATAGAATTAACCTTAACTTCTTGTGAGGAGGACAAGTACAAATATTACTGTTTTAATAAAATCTCAAAGGTAAATTTGAAATAAGAAAAATAGAAGGAAAGAGTATTACTTACCTAAATGGAAATATAGTTTCTTCCACAGAAATAAACAAATACAACATCTATATAATAAATGCAAATGTCAGTGTGTCACAGTGTCACACTTTTTCAACTTTGCTCCAAGAGGCCATAGCCAAATATATCATACCATTTTGGAATCAGGCTGACTCTGTGAGCAAATTAAAAACATTTTTGGTTGGATCTGGATCTGTCATCCTGAAATTTTGGATTCTCAAGTTTTCATTACTGTGATTGTTATTGGATCCTACCATCTTGGCTTCTATTGATAAAAACAATTAAAGGGACTCAACTCTCTAACTTTCAATAGCTCATGTTCAAATGAAAAAATACTGTTCTCAAATTACAGTGTTTCAAAAACAAAAGAAATCTCTGCCATTAGAGGACCAGATTGCAATCAAAATAGCCAAGGCTGCAGTGAGGAAAAGAAAGTGCCATGCATATGAAAACCCAGATCAAACAGCAGCCAAGAGAACTTCCAATGCTGAGAATATGCAAGACTTAGGGACTCTCAAACTCTTGAACAAACCAAAGGCCTAAGCAAGAGCCCTCCACAATGGTAAATACAAAATTATGTACATTAAATTAGATGCTTTTCTTTTTTCAAATAAGAACTAATTAATTTTACAGTGATAAATGAACAGTGGACATGATTTCAATATCGAATGTAATAAAAATAACAGTAAATGTTTATAATAGTCAGAACTTAGATAATAACCATTGAAAGAAAGTTCCACAAGATTCATAAACGAATTTTACTATTGTTGATTAAAATGAAGAAATTTGTTTTTTATGCGGTATTTGTGGGTAATTCAGTTCGCCCATTGTTTGCAATGACTGAAGTAGATTAAAGTGCTTGCATTCGTCCAGTACTCCAGTCTACCAACTGAGCTGTTGCTAGTGACCTCCTATTCTCTTGTTCTCGTTAGTATGTACACCATAATGCCAACAATGCATTCTCTTCTGTCCTGTCTTCCTCACAGACTCGCTATTTATGCCCACGTTGGGGGGGTCAACTAACATTTGCATACGAGACTTACTTCTCGCTCGCCCAAGACTTCCGATCTCATTAATTTATGCTGGCTTGAATTTTTA